AATGTCACAAAAGAAACAGAATAGTACACGCGTATTTACTGACTGGCGCCTGAGACAGACAAATCCAAGGAGGAATTTTATTGAATTTTTCTTCATGCATCAGCAAGCTCTAAAGGAAGATTACAGTTACTGTAACTGTAATTGACAAGTTTGCCATATTGGAAAGAATTGAAAATTGGGGATAGAAAATTTTAAAAGACGAGCAGAAAACTTTTATAATATCCTTTTTACGAGAGGAAAGCAAGCAATCGAAAATGCGCTACGTAAAAAGGGTCCCCTCTCCAACTTAATTAACTAGAGTCATTGTCGAAAATATGGAGATGAAATGAAGAAAGTACTGTGAAATCCATTGAGTCACATTGAAGAATATACAAAGAGAAAATAATGCAGCTGCCGCCTTGAATTTCTTTACACTGTACACATCGAATAGCTAGCTGTAAAATCGGAGTTATAATCCTAGATAGTAGCTCGTATAACTTCCGTTTGCAGCTTAGATTAAGTTCAAAAAGTACAGGAATGAAATAAAGAAACTAGAGTGATATAGAATACATGAATAGCTGCAGTTTACCAAATACTCATCGCCTATTAATTTATTACATGAGAATATTTGGATAGATTTACGTCATGATTATGACCATAAATTCAAATTGGGAAAAGTAGCGCTAAACAATAATAGGAAGAATTAGAAGAGTACTACATTTTTATCGAGAAGCATTAAAGAGAGGAAATAAATTCAGCAGCATTACATTTTCTTTATAGATCACCAAGTTAAAAGGATAAATTGGGGTTTTTACCTAAACTTTTATTTGTAATTGTAATTTTTTATTGGTTAGCATTCTCCGTTACAACTAAAATTGAGCATGCAGGATGAATAGTTGATCTAGGAAGGGTGGATAGTTGGCAATCATTCATGTTAATAAGGAGTGAGAGAATCATACATAGCATTACGTCGTTACTACTACTCTTTCTCCGCCATAATATTACTAGAGGAAATGAAAAGGTATTTTTATTCAATAGCATTGATGATAGACAACAAAAATACTAGACGATGGTTAATATTCAAGACTGTATCCAATAGATAGGATAGACAAAGTAGCAAGACAATCATAGAATTTTAAACCTTCCCCTTATTTCTGCTACAAATTCTATCATCAATTAATATCAGCAGTAAGGATATCAATAGTTAATCATGGTTAACATGATTAACTTATTGAATAAAAAATTTAAATTATTTACAAATGAACTTTACCTACCCATATTTTATTGTTATCAAATTAGTTTATCAAGCTATTCTAACAATTTTTCAATTCCAGTCAATTTAAACTATACGTACCTATTCAACAACTACAATCTTGGATATTAATTCATAATGTTATTGTTCATCAACAAAATCATCACAAGTTCATTTCAATTGGATCAATACTAGGTTATTCTTTATATTTTTTATTTGACTGATTGATTGATTGACTATTTGATGAAAAAACCAGCTTAAATCATCTACCTAGGCGTTTCCTTCATCATCACCATCCACGGTGGTATCGCCAATTTCAATTATGTCCCAGCCATAATTATTCAATATTAGATCGATTTTATCTTACTTTACCACTACTTCATGTTAATGCAGCTTGTCGGGAAAGTAATTTCTCTTTCCATCCTTGCTAAGTTAATTTCAACCGTTGGGTATCTTCCAAGGTTATAGGTTAGGGGTTATGACCTAGTGCGTGATCGTGGATTATTACCCACTTCTTTTTGATTGATAACGGCGATGAAATAATAGGCAAGAAATTGTTTTGTTAACTGTTTGATTATAATTGTTTGGTAGAATCGGTCAATACTATTGTCAAAACCATTCTTAATTTGATTAGCAAGCTATTTATTTTTACTTATTCATTTCCCATTTTTTTCCTCCCATTTTTTGAATCATCGACGGTATCATCGAAAGTAGAATAAATCACCCCATTAATTTGATTGTAAAGATTAGTCCTAGTCTTACCCTGATAGAATTTACGAAATAATTTTCCATTTACTGACTACATTCAATCGTTGTCGAATATCCTAACCGGCTCAAGATATTGCATGTATCCATTGAATAATATTTATGTTCTACCTGCTTAATACCAATCTATTCAACATCTTCCTATCAATATTATCGTTATCCTCGTCGAAATTTCCATAAGCAATCAGGTAATAGTACACTATTTAATATTTTTTATTTTTATAACTAGAAATGGACTAGCTACCCACTTGAATTCATTGTTATGAGCACAACAGACAGTATATCGTTTTTTTAAATGGACTCTTTCAAGGCTCTATGCTTACTCCTAGAAGCATGTTTAGTGTTATCATAATTGAGTAAAATAAACGTTACTTAGTACTCTTTGCTATGCTATGGAAAAAATTTCTTTCTATTTAGCTACTTTTATACCGATGATACTGCTATCATTGGCAGAAAACACCTTGATACTGTGAAACATCAACACGATCAGCTTTAATTTTTTGATCGAAACACCTACCATTTGATTTATCCATTTGAATGCTATGAGAATTCCTAAATTTGCATGTTTTTACATTTGCCCTTTTTTTATATATTACGCGCGTCTTTTGATAGAATTATGCGGCTGAAATTATTTTTATTACATCCTTCCATCAAGAATTGAAAATATTTACAATATGCTACCATCGGTAGGATGACTATTATTATTTTTAGTTGACGTTAAATTATTATTTTCGATTGATAAAATCTTATATCCAGTAGTAATTAATCCTGAAGACATTAGATAATATAGAATCAAATCGGTCACAAGCAGAAAATCAAGATAATAGAATAGATTAGCTGATAATCAATAGCATTTTATCTGCAAGGGGACAGGATCTTCACTGTTTTATACGGCATGGTAATAGTTTCATCGCCAGTGGCATTAACGCATATTATATCGACGATAGGCTTGGTCTCTTGATAGCTATACGTATATACAGTCATTAGCATTATTTTCAATATAAAAGCAATGATAATAATATTAAATTATGGATAATATACTGTATATCAGCTTAGGAATAAAATCGAGTTTTGAGAGACCGGCAATAATTTTACTGTTCTACGCCATCGATGACCATTGTATCGACGACAGTCATGATCTCCAATGGTGACTCATAATATTTTCTACACTACTAAAATCAGTCAGGGAAACAACTCTTTTTCATTGTTATAATTGAAATAGCCGAGGTTAATGTAGATTTGAAGTTTTACTTGGTAAATTGACCAAGCTTATGATAGATAGCTATTGGAATAGCTGTCCTAATCAGAAGATATATCTAATTAACTCGTTTACGGAAATTGATCAAGGATGATATAAATGTACAACAAACAAGGAGAAAAGAATTAGTTAATATTGAAATAGATTTCGATATGATTAAATTAGTTAAGTGTAGACTCAGTTGCGCTCGTCTAGTTATAATTAAAAGAACTCTGGAGATCTTGGATGACAATTTATTAGCCTAAATATCGTTTACCATCGTAACCATTCTCAATAATTTCTTTCTATTTTACTCGTTCATTTATTTACATTCGATTTCTTGGTAAAACACGTTTTATTTTACTGATTGAAAATGGCGGATCAAAAATTGTCCATCGGCGATAAAAATAATGTAATTAGACTAATTAAAGGTACAGAAGATAGATTGTCTTACAGAAACTGATGGTTTTCACATTACTTGTAATTTTAAAGGCCTAATGATATAGTCTGTGTTTCTATTAACTATATTCATTGATCTAATTAGCCAGCATCAATACAAGATATCTATTTCAGCTGCATTTAGGGATACTTGTATTAACAATAGCTGAAGATCATAACTACTACTCTGAGTGGGAGTCAAATTTGTTATACTTTACTTCATGCTGAGAGAACCGTATATCTTTGTGTAAAATGAAATTAATTAACTGCAATGCCATTTAAGAATTTAATGTATTATACGTCATTCCTTGCTGAAAGTACCGCATACCTTTTATGCTAAATGAAATGAACTCAAATAATATTTATAAATGTAATTGACATTATTCTGCGCTGAAAGTACCTCATATCTTTGCATAGAATGAAATCAATGAGCTGAAATACCACTATAATCCTAACATATTATACAATATTCCATAATAAGAGCACTGCATATCTAAATGTGGAATGAAATTAATTAACTGGAAAGCCATTTACCAATCTAATTGGCTATACATTATTCCATTTTAATAATACTGTGAATCTTCGCGTAGAAAGGAACGAAGTGAATATTATTTAACGATTTGATGTATTATACATTATTCCATGCTGAGAATACTGCATATTTTTACGTAGACTGAAATCAACTGAAATACTCTTGTGAATCTAATATGCTATAAACTATTTGCAGCCGAGAGCCCTACCTATCTTTGTATAGAATGAAGTTAATAGATGGAAACACTAATTACTAAACTATATAGTACGTCATTCCAAGTATTCCTTTCCATGATAATTTGATATTGTATACGTACGTGGGTATTTTGGCCGCGAATATTAATTTGTAACTTAAGAAAAATCCACCAATTCCTTACCTACAAGCAAAACCAATCACTTTCTATGGTGGTACAGTACCCAATTAACTTTAGTAAAACATTTTCCATTTGTAACGTGATTAATGTGGCTAATTGGATCAATCGTTTTTGTATTTATCATAGATTGCAACAATTATATCATTTAATCAACAATTATTTCACTTTGATTATTGGAAAGTTTTCACTCGAATCGTTTCCTGATTTTATTATCCAACTCCACCTCCAAGCTATCGGAGTTAAAGTTGATTTTATTCAGTTCTCTTTGGCTAAACGATAAATTTGACTATACGAACTTGAACCGGAATAGCACCTTTGGCTCCTTATCAAGTCAAGCTTGATCTTCATTTTCATCAAAGCTAGTTACTAAAGGCCTCTATCGATTAGTTTGATCATGAGTAATTACTCAGGTCTTAGCGATTGGGATGATGCCGGTTGGCTGCTAGCAAGCGGTTTCATCATTTTTACTATGCAGTCTGGCTTTGGTATGTTGGAATCAGGACTAGTATCTAAAAAGAATGAAGTTAACATTATGGTTAAAAATACAGTAGATGTTATATTTGGTGGAATATCATTTTGGATGTTTGGTTATGCAATTGCCTTCGGTATTGACACCGTTCCGGGTAGAAATAATCCTTTCACTGGGTAAGTCTAAATCGAAGTTTTTTCTACCTTTATTACTTGTTGATGTCGGATACGAAATTATTAGTAACAGCTTTAATAACGAATTGTACCAACTTCTCAGTCCTTTTGCGCTTCGGATCTAGCCTGAATTATGTTTAGGTTTACGGTAGTTATTCAGGGTATGGCTTTACATAATTTAGGCATCCGTTATTATCAAATTAGATGATTATAGTGCTCAAAATTTACCCTACAGTTCTAAAAGAAGTATAAATATTTCTTTAATTTAATTCTATTCGGGTAATGAATGGCAGGGATATCACTCATCTTGAATATCTAGTATAACTCTAAGTAGCATACATCTTCATAACAAATTGATGATAGTGTCTTTCTTTTTTAAACTAATTCTTGTTCTAAATACCGGTACTAAAAGAGAAACTTTTATTTTTCTTGGATTTATTTCGTTTCTTAAATCAATCCTAAGCTATTCAATGCAAAGAATGCAAAATAGCATATCTCCTTTCCTCTCAATTATCAGCTTAAAGAATTCATTTTAATGGTTAAATTCTATTTTCGAGCCATCACCCTTGGTTCAATCTATTACATCATATGTAAATATCATCTCATTTTCATTTATTAGCAGAGGACTATTTTACAACATTTAAAGTATGGACTTATCCCTTTTAAAAGGTTACACAATTACCCTTTAAATATTAAGAGGACTTGGTTTTAAGAAACAGAAATATTCTTGTTTCCTTGGGCTGAAGTTATATTTCAAAACAATGATTGATAATTGTGATTCACATCCTACGTGTAAATAAAAGAATAATACAGTTAATAGAGAGAAATATCTTACTCTAGATTTGAACAGATATCTAGCCTAAGAGATATTCTTGACAACTGATATTTCCTTTCACTAAGTTTGTGACATTTTTTTAAACTATTCGAATTATTTATTAACCACTAGCCCAAAATCAATAAGACATTACTATTAAACGAGGTTCTCTTTCGTCGTATTCGTAAATTTTTTGTTCTACCCTATAAGGACTACTTGCTAAAGACCAGTTATAGCCAATATCAACATCAGTATGAAATTGATTCTAAATAGAAAAGTATCGTAGCTATTAACACTTGCTTTATATTTAATTTAGCGCACTCATACAGTCTAAAAAGGCTGATTATAAAAGAGGGAAGTAAACATATGAAATAAGCTTCTCTAATAGTAAAATCGAAAGTTTCATTTATTGATATATTATTATGAATTCGTATTTGATAATTAAGTAAAATGCATTCTAAAGATTGATTTAATTTTAAAAATTTATTTCCTATTACATGCTACTGTGGTGCGGCTATTTTAGCAAAGGAATTTATTTATAGTTAGCCATTAAACAGAAGAGCCATCACTAAAGATTTAATTTATTAGTGTCGGTGTTTATCGATAATGGAATAAATACAATCTGGAAGTTGATTCAATTTTAAAATTTTATTTCTAGTCATCTAGTGCAATAGAGCGACTAATTTGGCCGGGAACTTGTTTACAACTAGAATTTTATACAGACAGAGTTTTTGCCTATATATATAATATTATTTATCGATTTCCATTGAAAATTTTCGAATCTTCGCCTGGAGTTGTTTACAAGATAAAGTATTTATTTATATAGAATATTATTTAATGGTCTAAATAGATGAAGATTTTAAATTAGTAATTACTTGATCCTGCGCTACAGTAAGAAGTATTAATAAATCTAGTAATAAAGGTACTATAAGAACAAACATATTCGTAAAATGTGATAACAAACCGAAAATTAGGGAGGCGTAGGGATAAGAATGAAGTATACTGTATAGTCTATATATGATCATAAGTTGCTAAACACCAAACCTGAATGATTATGGTATAAGTGGTTGCTTTAGAGCAATAAACAAGATGAAAACAGGAGTAAATGTTGACTTCTTTCAGTAGGAAGTCAATAAATAAAATATAAGGTTTTTACTTTCGTGTGGCTTTTGAGACAGAAAGTGGCAACGGCCCACAAACAAGAAGCTTTTGAAACAAAGATTGTTGGCTAGAATATTTCAATTACAAAATAAAAAGAAAATTTAACAATAATATAAATCGATAGACGATAGAAACTGAAATACAATTCGTATAATGTTTAGAAGAATATCATGATAAGGAATTAGTTCACTTTTATCGATATCCATCACAAAATATGGGTACAAATATTGTCCTTAAGGTTATGAAGTTCAATATTTATGTTGTAAAGAAATCCTTTACAGAAGATTGCGATTTGAAATATCGTGAAAAAGAAATTGATTTCTACTGATACCTAGTACAGAGTGCGGATACTAATACAGTTTTGGAGATTATGGACTTCAGCGTTTAACTTACAACGAAAGTTTTTATAGGCGAAGAATGTAGTTTAAAATTACACAAATAGGAATTTATTTTTGTCGATAGCTATTGCAAACCCTTTTGCAGAATGTGGATACTAATATGGTCTTTCAGTTTATGAACTCTAACATTTAGGTTATAAAGATACTTGCTATAGACAGAAATTATAGTTCAATCTAGCCAAGATACAGTATATTAGGCTTGTATGTGATCGTTAGAAATATGGGTATGACAATCTAACTTAATAAATTATTCAGAGGGCATAAAGAATAAAAAATTACATTAAGATATTATCGACATAGAAGATTGGCTAGCCTTGAGCCAAATATCTCAATCGTTATTAAAGTAAGATAAAAAAAAATACATAACAAACATTCTTTAAGCCCCTTAAAAGGAAAGGTGATGCTCACACCACTTAGTAGTATTATTGTTTTTCTATTTTAAAAATCTAAAGAATACTTGAAATTAAAGCACTCGTCAATATTGACTACAATCAATCGGTTTGCTTCTGAGATAATTTATCATTCACATGAAAGTATCAGAGCTAGAATAGCAAAACGTGCAAGTAAATTAAATACAAACTATTCACTAATGAGATGTAAAGCCCTATCATGGAAATTAAATGATAATATAAGAAGCTTTGACAAGATTATAGCTTTCGATTACGAATAAATTAACTACCATTCCTTTGGGTAACCTATCCTTGCTATACACAAAGACATTCATAAAATGCACGAGTAGCCAATACTGGAAAATCTATTTAACTGGGAAGATATCTAATTAGTTACCGATGATTTTTAACTTTTATAATATTTATAGAAGCACAAGTTACTCCAAGTTAAAAGAGATATGTGATTATCTTCATAACATTTCTAGGAACGCAAATAACTTACATTAGATAGGATACTATACTAGAGACATATCTAATTATTACATAATGTCCAATTTTCGTAATTTTAAAACTTTTATCAATCCAAGGTCCCTATTTAACGTTACTTTTGAAGATATCGGCTCTACTCATTGCCGTATTTCATAAATGATTCAGAGAAATTTCCCAGAATACCAGTAGTATTAGTGTCAATGTATTGAATTGTAAGAATACAAATATCCGTCAACTAGAAAGTAAAAGTGTTGGCTCGAATAACAGCAATGTTTATGATTATGAAAGTAACAATTATGAATGGATATAAAAATATACATTACGTAGATACTGCATATTATATGAATAGTGAAATATAAATATCGGTTGATTAGGAAATTAGCGTAAAACTCAAATAGCCCTAAAACTTTACTTCGACGTTAAATGCCTTCTACTGTGCAAGTTAATCAATTAAGCATAACTAATCGATTAGCAGCAATTAGAATTACCAAGGACGAAATATTTCTTCGATGAATTAAAAGATACAAACAAGAAACATCTTTGTCATCTTGATTATGGCCCAAAATTGAGTGGTCTATTTTACATAATAAATATTGATTCTAATCTTCATATACCAGAGACAGTACAACGAATTTCCTCTACTTCAAGAAACAAACTGAAACAATGTTTATATCACTTAGATTATGACACAGTAGAAGCAATTTTCACTAATTTATATCTAGAAAATAAATTTAAACTATCTTACTTGTCCTGAAAATAGTAAAGAGGAAATATGATATCGCATAAATTATATGTTGTCAGTATTTGTTATACCTGTTGAAGTCAATATTAATAAATAATTATATTTCTAAAATGGGATAAAGCAATCATATAGTAGTTTTATAACTCAAATGATTATTTATTGTTCACTATAGGCTATACAATTCTGAATCGCAGAATTTAGTGAATATACGGTATTACTACTTACTCAGACATTAATCGTAAATTACCTACTTGCTCTTATTAAAATACCTTGTATAATAATCTGATTGCATTCTCTTTATTTCATCCATCCCTTAAGCGCTTTAATTTTTTATAGCCTTTATATCCTATTTCGGCATGTGAATTCTAACATATGTCCAATCAAGTTTATATCTTTCAGCATTTCTTATGTATTGACTAATTTTGCAGACATCAGCCATTACACATTCTAGCACTGTATCTGCATCTAATCGAGTCTATATCTATTTGGAATCTCTCTCGCATCAACTAAACTATTACTTTGCATGTGTATTAACTACTACACTTAGGTAGTAATTTAGTATTAGATTTGGTGAAGTAAATGGGGGAGGGGGAGCAATTTATAGAAGAAAGGACAACGAATAAAAGATATCTTTCTATGATCTATATTATATCGACTGAATCCCTTTTAAAGAAATACTTTAACGGTCAATAACGTAAATATGGTATATGGTTACTTATGATTAGAAAGCTAAGCGTAAATAATTGAAAATTATTCTATATAAGCGTAAAATTATAAATATTCATCTGATAGAAGGCATTAAATATCTAGATTAAGAACGAAAAGATTGAGATACTATTGCAGGATTTATAGGGACGGTTTTTATTTTTTATTTTTAGTTTTGCAATTGCCATGATTTGCCATAAAGTAACTCATGACTGTTTCTAATAAACCTACACCTATTATATATAATTAGGATTGGCAATTTCTTCGTCGATGGGCACGTCAATTCATCCGGTTGGCTGTATACCAATTTTTTCTTCCAGCTGTCATTTTCGACAACTTCAACAACAATCGTATCTGGTGCTATGGCTGAAAGGACAAAACTGGATTCTTATTGTGTCTTCTCGTTTTTCAATACTTTGGTTTATGCATTCCCAGCTCACTGGATATGGGATTCTAAAGGCTGGTTAAGACAAATGGGGGTTGTTGATGCAGCAGGCGGTTGTGCTGTCCATATCGTCGGTGGTTTTACTGGTTTGATTGCCACTTTAATTTTACGTCCTCGAATTGGACGTTTTTCTTCTAATTATCAACCTGAAATGAGCTCTCCAACGAACGCTATCGTTGGTATGTTTATGTTATGGTGGGGTTGGTTAGGCTTTAATTGTGGCAGTAGCTTCGGTGTTACTGGACATTTATGGAAATTCTCTGCTAGGTAAGCCCTTGATTCAAATATCATTTTTTATCAGCTTGTTTCTAAATACTCATGAACGATTGGCACAGGGCTGCAGTAACAACGATGATGTCGTCGATTGGAGGTGGACTCTACGCTATTATATTTAGGTAACGTGTGCTATTCCATCGAGGGCAATTTTTTATTTACCACAATATACATTGAATAATCCGATATCATCTAGTAACAAATTCCTGACTTCTTTGAACTATCTACTTTTATAGTTATATTGCTTTCAAGAAAAAGATTAAAATCAATCATATGATAAATGGTATTTTGGGTGCACTAGTGGCTATTACGCGTAAGTAAACACGTTCTGATCAGTATGGCCAAGTTGACTGAAATCAATTTAGTAAATGGATTTTCAGTGTCAATTCCTTCCAATACAGTATTTAATGCTGTAGTTGATTGCAAATGACGGCATTAGACTCAATTGATAGCATGATCATCTACCGTTTATTGAGTCAATTTTAGCATATACTGTATGTATTTGTATGTAATCTTATCAAGATGTCAACGATGCTCAATGTTGATGGCTTTCTATTGATGTAAATCCATCTTTTGCTACGTTATTTAGCGTGTTGCATGGTTGTCGATGCATGGGCTTCTATCGTTATTGGTATCATTGCTGCTGCATGTTCTTGCCATGGTGCCACTTTGCTAGCTCGCATACGTATCGATGATCCTGTTGATTGTGTTGCTACACATGGTTTCTGTGGTATGTGGGGGATGCTTGCTGCTGGTTTATTTGCGCAAAAAGAACTTACCGACCAATTTAGCATCTATGATGGATTATTCTATGGTGGTGGAATGCATTTATTCGGAATACAAATGTTAGCAGTAGTATGTGTAACAATATGGACATTGGTTACTTCATTTATTGTCTTACTCTTAATTAAAGTTAGCATGGGTATACGATTAACAGAAGAAGAAGAACACTTAGGTGCTGATGCGGTTGAGCATGCATTTGATACCGATGACGTTATTATTAAAAGTCGATTAGCCAATATATCGTTATCGGAATATACGCGTTCAAGAATTAATAGTCATGATTATCATGATAATATTAGCATAGTCAATCAGGATAATTCTTTCCATATCTCATCAAGACCTGCTAGCGGTGTCGTTACTGTCATTAAATCACCACGGCGTAATGTTGTTACACCTGCAGCTGCTATACCACATATTGGATATAGTGATGGTGGTGGTAATGAAAAGATAGGAAAAGATGAGAAAAGGCTTAGTACAACAAATCTTAAAATGTTAGCTGGTACTATAAGATCAACACCGCCAAGAGAAGAAGATGATTTATCGTTGCGATCTGTCATATCTCAATGCGATAGAATAGAGAGATTGAATAGGTTAAGATCAGGTTTAATCCATAAAGGTCGTTAAAAAGATGATGATGGAGAACGACCAAGACACTATTTTATAATTACAATCTATTTATCCAAAGGAAATATATCTCCATTTATTAGAAAAAAAAATGACGATAGTTGCAATGATGATGATAGTACTATTTTATATATTATCACGCTTTTCTAAAGAGTATCCATCGTTAAAAATAGGAAGATGGTATAAAGATGATACTTAAAGGAAAAGTGTCAATTCTACCTAGTGAAATTAGTATTCTTGACCAAGTTAGCGGTTGCAGCATTAACTAAGATAACAGCGTATATTGATACGTTGGGAAAAAAATGTGATCTTGATATTCACCTTGCTCCTTTAATAATTATGCAATAGCTGTAGCGAATCTTGTACTTTGTGGTATGCACCGCCGGTTGACTATAAACAGGATCCTCAAAATAATTCTATTACAAGTACTGGTATATAAATCTCAATCTTTCCTTTCCTATGACTTTATATATCTCCGTACTCCATTTTTTTTATTATTATTTTGATCATTATTTTGGCACTGACCAAATTAATATCACCTTTTAGATTTTAATAGAAAGTCAAAACAAATCCAACTATCTAACAAATTTCTGTGATGATATAGTGTTGTCTTATTAAGAATATGCTATGCCAATCGAAGATGATAGTGCTGTTCGCTTCTGTGCATAGTATCTTGCTTTTATCTAGCACAATTTTTAGAATGGACTTTACCACTATATCATTTTAAAAGCTAGTATATTGCATAACCCAATTTTAATATAGCTTAATGAACAAAATATCGCTGATACGATATGGCAACATTTCAATTTTAAGCTAATTTTCCTCTTTCATTTGGACATTAATTCTTGTACTTTATGGTAAAGGCATATTCTTATTCTATACTTTGCAAAAAACTAGCAAATTTTTGCTATAACATTATAGACCATTATTGTAGCTACAATATCTTTCCAAGTGATACGACAATAATATGATATATAACTCATTTTACGGATAAATCTGTTTAATACGATGACTGAATTAAACCGTGTAAAATGGAAAAAATTGTAAATTATTACTGCATGCTATGTATATACGCATATATATCATAATTTAGCTAGAAAGTAACAATGGTTTTACGAATCTTTTCATCATCAAGGATATCTTCTAAGGAAGTTATGTATTTAAAATCATAATACCTTAGCTTGTCTTTCGTATAATAAAAAGATCATACTAGTAGAATAAATGAAATACAATCTGGATGACTTCTGAGTACCATCATTAAGAAGCCAGTCTATCCCGGCAATATCCGAATAATGTCGTTTCTTTGTTGACTGCAATGGATTTTTACAATCGTAGGTTAATTAACCCGTAAAAATAAAGATTGCTTCTGGGTAAGAAATCTGGATAATTTCTGATTACTTTCGAGATGCAGCGGTTCCAAATTTCATCGATTTCGCTAGGCTATATCATACATTACTACAGTGGTATTTTGCTTTACCTTACACTACAATATATCTCATAAATGCTTTAGTTGATATTTATTGCATTATCCACGATGGTAGTATGCATCTAGAGAGCAGCACTAAAATAACTCAGGTTTGTAGGTTAAAATGCAAGGTTGCACAAGTGCTTTTTCGTGAGAGATTGAGAGCTGAAGATAATCCTTGGTATAAAAATTAGTTGATATAATAATGTGAAGCTAACAAGAAGCTCTTGTCATATTATTTATTATTAAGATACTTTATACTTTATCAAGCCATATCAATGTTCAACTTACTATCTCTATCTTGTTAATAAAAGTTGATTTATTTCTAAACTTGAGGTCCATAGTGTCTTTGATGGAAATTTTTGAACTAACGAGTAGGTTAATTGCTTTAAAGTTAGGATTACTTATTTTCTGTACTCAAGCATATACTATATGACAGTCGTCTACTGTATCTATCTCATATCTAAATAAAATGTTAGTGTATTAGATATAAGCTTGTATAATTAGCATTACTGCTTAGCAAAGTGTCTTTGCCAATCTTTACTCAAGTCAGTTTAATGTTACCAAATACAAGAATACCATAGTAATTGACATTGCGATATATTGAAAAGGAAACCTTTATTGATTTAGGAATTTGAATAAAGAATTTGGGGGATAAAATAGCTACTCATTGATTTGTGTTTCGTTATGACCGTAATAGTATTTAGTTATTTCTTAACATTATACAATCATTATTTCTTTTTAGATTTGCCCGATTTGACAGGTGTTTGAGGTACTGGCTTGGTATAGGTAGCGTTGGATATCCGATTTAAGAAGTACAAGGCGATCATGGAAAAGATGAAACTGTAATGAAACATGTTGAAAGCATTATTTGAAATTGCTTGCCAAATAGTCGTGTCGTTTTATATTGGTCAGGAACCTACTAGTCATAGTATAGCAAATGGATGTCAATTTATTTAATTTTCCTTTTTTAAGTACAACTTACCATGTGGTAACACACACACGATGGACAAGTCCACTTGCGATCATTGCCATTATAAGCGATGCAATGACTAAAAATGGCATAAGTCAAAGTTAGTTTTCATGGACGATACTCGAATTAGTCTATGCATTCATACTGTACAAGTATAGCGTGGTAAATTGCTTACGATATATGTACAAGAATGATCGATATACCGATAAAGTAGAAGACAATCCATTTGTTAACAATAATTTGCTACAATTTTATTCACTACGTACAGTAGACGCGTAAACCTATTAATGTATCTCTATATATAGTACAAACTATTTTGAGATTGAATCTGACTTTATCTTAAATGTATTGATTTTGTTTCTGCTGTTTTCTTTTATAAATTGTAGCAATCATTAACTCATTGAAGTTGTTTTGTAGGTAATACTAATTCAATCCATGTTGCTACTGTCAAAATTTATCATGATTGACCAACCTTCAGGAAATATACTAGCAGCGAAATTCTTGCCAAAGGCGAACATTTCAAAGTTGCTAATAGCCTGTATCATTCAGTTAAGGAATAACGTGGGCATCCATACTTAGTTTACATATCTTATTGCTTTTTTGGATGACAATAACATTGGGATGCTACACATTTTTTCAAAATTGGACCATCTAGCTTACTTAATAAGATTAGATCAATATTCAAGAGTTGTATCCTATACTCGGCTAATCTACAGGACAAGAACTACTACTGGCTGCAGTATGACTATTTCAATATTCCTATTACTGTAATGGATGCTATTGCATTGCGTTCAAATAAATTTCAATTTCATCATCGAGTTCTTTATTCAAGATAAAACGGACACTGTAGTACTGCAATCTTTGATAGTCTACAACTGTAGGGCAAAGACTACAGTATCTGCCTAGGACTGGTTGTCGAATGGAAAAGATTGGATGATGAAAGTGAGCGATAGCTTTACTATCCATCACTTTCATGATTTGAATCAGGAGTATGTGTGACTAGATCAATTTTGATGATCAATGATCGGATACAGTCAATATGAATATAAAGAGCTCAGATCCAATGAAACCACCCAAGATTGTCATTTCTCTACTTGATGCTAACTGCGTCCTAAAAGTTTGCATGCCAGTAAAAATAACAACCGATAGAATGGCTGCCACAGCACAAGAAGACGACGGCGAAACGGCACCTTTAATCAACCATGTCATAACGATATCAAAAAGACATTGATTAATACTATACTTGGATCAATAAGAAGAAAATCAGCTCAATCAATCTCAAATAGAATTAGTTCAACATCCAGTTTATGCCTGTTGCAATAAAAAGAATATTTTTATCCTTACCCATTTTTAGTGATCCTTCCACGTCGACGATGAAACCACAGTGATGAGCGGAGTCTCTCGACTCTTAGTCTAGTGTATCTAAGAAGAGTGGCGTATTGAAGCGTTTGACTGGCATCGTTGAGTTTGAATGCCAATCTCTCGCAGGATCATTTGCAGGCACATGCGTAGCGTACACTGCAAAGGCTTCCTTCCAGCAGTCCGTGACTGTGGGTGACAATGCCTACCATCGTTCCTACAGTATCCAGCACACGATCAAAATAATTGTCCATGGTATAGTAGAGTACATACTGTAGAGGCATGACAGTACTTTTGAACGAAGTGGAAGTGATACTGAGCGCTTTCTGCCTTGTAGTTAAGTAGGGTAGCCACTTCTATGGGAATCGTATAGTAGAATGACTGACAAAATCATAAGGCCTCCATCTTATTTTGCAGTCAAGGTTTTGATCGTATCCAGTAGGTGATCAAAATAGTTTTAAGTCATGCTGAGCGCTTTCTGCCTTGTAGTAGGGTAGCCACTTTTAATAAGGAGAATCGTATAGTAGAACGACCGATAACATCATAAGGCCTCCATCTTGTTTTGCAGTCAAGGTTTTGATCGTATCCATTAGACGATCAAAATAGTTGTCCATGGTATAGTGGAGTACATACTGTAAAGGCATGACAGTACTTTTGAACGAAGTGGAAGTGATGCTGAGGGCTTTCTGCCTTGTAGTAAGTAGGGTAGCCACTTCTATGGGAATCGTATAGTACTGTAGAATGACTGACAAAATCATAAGGCCTCCATCTTATTTTGCAGTCAAGGCTTTGATCGAATCCAGTCGACGATCAAAATAGTTGTCCATGGTATAGTCGAGTACATAGTGTAAAGGCATGACAGTACTTTTGAACGAAGTGGAAGTGATGCTGAGCGCTTTCTGCCTTGTAGTAAGTAGGGTAGCCACTTTTATTAAGGGGAATCGTATAGTAGAATGACCGATAACATCATAAGGCCTCCATCATATTTTACAGTCAAGGTTTTGATCGTATCCAGTAGACGACCAAAATAGTTGTAAGTTATGGCGAGCACTTTCTGCCTTGTAGTAGGGTAGCCACTTTTAATATGGAGAATCGTATAGTAGAATGACCGAAAACATCATATTTCTGCATCTTATTTTGCAGTCAAGGTTTTGATCGTATCCAGTAGACGATCAAAATAGTTGTCCATGGTATAGTGGAGTACATACTGTAAAGGCATGACAGTGCTTTTGAACGAAGTGGAAGTGATGCCGAGCGCTTTCTGCCTTGTAGTAGGGTAGCCACTTCTATGGGAATCGTCTAGTAGAATGACTGACAAAATCATGAGGCCTCCATCTTATTTTGATGATCAAGGTTTTGATCGTATCCAGTAGACGATCAAAATAGTTGTAAGTTATAGCGAGCGCTTTCTGCCTTGTAGTAGGCTAGCCACTTTTATTAAGGGGAATCGTATAGTAGAATGACCGACAAAATCATGAAGGCCTCCATCTTATTTTGCAGTGAAAGCCGTTTCCTGTCTTTCTTTTTTAGTAGTCCAGTATACAGTAGGCGATCAAAATAATTGTCCATGCGATTGTACTGTACATACTGTACAGGCATGACAGGACTATTTAACCAAGTGTAAGCTATGCTGTGCACTTCTGGCTTGTAGGTATTGTATAGTAGAATGACAAAATCATAAGGCCTCCATCTTATTTTGCAATCAAGGCCGTTTCTTGTCTTTCTTTAGCGGTAGTCCCTACAACAGTGGTGGACTGCTAGGGATACTGTATATTGAGCCATTTATGATGGAGTCAACACCAATAATACTGTATTTACTGGCCATTGGAAGCGTACATCATTCATTTGCAATTTGCTATAATAGAATTCACCAAACTCGTCTCATGTGTCACTGTATTCAGGCAACTGGCACAGCTTCTATATACATTTCCTGTCAAATGAATTGGCCTAACTCATCGCTATTTGTTCTTCCCCTTTAGGGGTGACGAATTAGGCGAATTCTACAGTATCAGGTAACCTCAAATTTGGACAAATTTGAGTACGATGTTGGAGTCGATAGTCATCAACGGCTGCGTACCCCCCCCCCTAGTTGCTCTCTTTTTTCCAGCAACCCTTGCTAATCAACTCAACATTTTTGCTCTCCTGGCGTTAACTAATCTATTTTTCCCCTTATAGTAAAAAAAAACTTGAGTTCTTGTTACCTTTGTGGGCTAAAAATGAGTTAACAAGTCTCTGCAAAGAGTTGAATATCCACCATGATGGAAATATCTTGTGTAACCAACATCCTCGCCATATCCTCGGATAGGATGCATCAGCAGTCAGTCTATCGCCAGGCCCGCCCATAGTACTATACCCAACCGTACAGTGTACCATACAGTTCTTACAGCTGGCACTATACAGTACTATACTGTACAGTACAGTATAACATATAAAAGGCAAACTCTCTCCATTAACTCTGTAGTCTTTACTCTCGAGCCGAAAAAGAATCGCTCAACTTGTAGCTTTGCAGAGATTTGCAAACACCGGCCGCTGGCAATGGATGAATATTTTATCATTAAAAGTTTACATGAAGCTGCCAAATGGGGCAACTTGGATAAAATTAAAACGTTATTGAGTAATAATCTATCCTTGAAACAAAGAATAGATAATCCTGATGATAATGGCTGGACAGCGTTGATGTTTGCTGCCAAAAATAACCATGGTGATGTCATTGAATTCCTCTTGGAAAATGGGTAAATACCATGCTCTACTATTGTAGAATATTGCCGCTTTTACCATGCTTTAGCATACATGTTTAATGATATAGAGGGCCAACGAGTCTATTAAATTGCCTAATCTTGCATCACCTTCGAGATGGATTAGGTTGATTGCTAAATAAGGGGGGGGGGGGAGAAAATGAAATATGGTGTGCAATCAATAACTTTGAGTCGCTATCATAACAAAATTGAATATGCAATTGCTACAATAGGCAATGGATAGCTATAGACTGATCAATCCTTCACATTTAATGTTAACAATGTTACTAGACTACTAAATACAAAATGATGGAAGAATAAATAGGTGCATGGAGTAGATTGAGTAGCTTATGACGATAGAATCAGATCAACAGATTGAATTGTTTTGGATAGTTTCCTTAGAATACAATTGATGGATATCGAGTAAATTGAATTGTTAGCTACGATGCAAAGAAGAGGTCGACTAGATGAGATCCGTTGATATCACAACCGCAATTCTTTGTACTGTTCAATTTTAAATAACGTGGATGACTAAATACAAATAGGAAAAATAATAAATAAATAGACGTAGGCAGGAAGCAAGTTACTTGCTTTTAGAGTGCAATAGTGGTAAAGTTGATTATGGCAGTAAATACAAAAGTTAAATAAATAATCATGCAGTACCATAATACGTTTGTTGATGCGCTACGATAGCAATCACTGCGGACAAGATATCCCTGGTACGATGATGTACTTATTAAATTAGCTTAGTTGATGATCATTGATCATGTCTGCTACACATATGTCAATGAAGATTTTGTCACTGCTCAATACATCAGACAAACTTACTGTTCAAAGTTCACAACTTCCAATCATATCCGTTGTACTTCTTCTTTTAGAGCTGAACCATTACTTATCAATCAAGCTGGCGAAACTGCAGAGGACATTGCTGGCCAATATAAGAATTTAGAAATTTGCATTGCTATTCGAACCTGCAATAAATCCAAAGCCAAAAATGATAGCATTAATTTCTTCAGCCATGAACCTTTACAACGTTGCGCGGAACGTCGCAACGATAAAGAATGGCTGGAATGTACTATGAAAACATCGGATGCTAAATTTATTCTTTATAACAATCTTCAACCACTTGTAAAGGAAAACAACGATAAAACTATCAGCATTTATAGATTGCTCTATTCTGATGTGGAAGACTTTATTGCTTGTGGAGCGCTCGTTATTTTACTAGGATCAGAAAAATTAATCGAAGAAAATGAAAGTGCCAACGGTCGGTAATAGCTTATCAATTATTGATCTAATTCAATCTTGCAACTTTGCGATCCCTAATTAGACCACTGTACTATGTAGAGAGAGATAATTTCAAATTAATTGCTTACCTTGCACTAAAAATACTATCTATGGCTTTTCACCCAAACCGGATTGACATTGACTATTTTTATCATCGTGCAGCAGGAAATAATATTTGGTTTGGCGTTAATATATCACATATTGGATGCGGAGATTTGACAACTAGATTTTCCGGATGTAAGTGGTTATCGAAAGCTCTGCCAAAGCAATTAATGCTAGTTGCCACGGATGCTACAATTATTGGTCAAGGGCGTTCCATCTTTTGTTGGCATCGATATAACAGGTAAATTACAATTTATAAAGCCTATCACTAAAATGATTCATGATTGCACAGCACATATCGTACAAAATTTTACCAACATGGAGTATATTTGTAATAATAACGCCCTTTATGCTACTTTCAACAGATTTTGTTCAATCTGTGGCTCCAGTACCCGCTTTAAAGAAGCAGGATACAAATTAATATGTAGTAATGAGCATTGTGAGAGCCATAATGGTGTCCACAATGTTTCATACCCTCGAGTTGATCCTGTGGTGATTATGTTGGTCATTTCCTCGGACCACAACTATTGCTTACTCGGAAGAAAGATTGGATTTCCTGATAGTAAGTGTGATTAAATGAGAAAGTATACCTTTACCATTTTTATGGTCATTGAGATTAATTTTGGCAATTGATACACTTTTATAAAGGAATGTGGTCGTGCCTAGCTGGCTTTATGGAACCTGGAGAAACAATTGATGATGCTGTAAAAAGGGAAGTCTATGAAGAAAGTGGTGTCATTATCGATAGTGTTCGATATCTATCGAGGTGAAATTGACTATGTGTAACCCATCATTTGTCGTATGTGAGTCTAAATTAATAGTTAATGATTCTTATTTTATACTTTAATTTGATAGCCAACCATGGCCATTCCCGTCTTCATTGATGATTGGTTGCATAGCTGTAGCTGCTACTAGACCTGATAATACAAATCTAAAGATTGATCGTAAGGAGTTGGAGGATGCTCGATGGTTTACAAAAGAACAAGCTAATATGGCCTTGTTCCCAAGGCATTACAAATTCGTTAGCGATAGGATTATTCTCCCACCTTCACAAGCTATTGCCCACAAAATTATCAAGAATTGGCTTAGAATCAAGCCGAATTTGTAAATATTTTTTCGCCACGTAACGAGCTGTCTTTCACCCAAAAGAATTCCCTACACCAAATCAGCCACCAAAATTGCAAATAGATAGTATCAGAGAATATAATCTTATTGTGTTTACCAATTTATCTATACTATCCATCCAGCAGTAATAAGTTCATTACATACTGTATTACACGTATCCTATTATTGTCAAAGTTTTATTGGTTGCTATCTTGCTGATAGTTATCATCATAATTGAACAAAAGTTGAAATTGAAAAATATGAATGTTTTTAACTTCACATTTCGCTAAATTGCTTAAACCTTACTGAGAAAAAGCTAGCTTGTACCTAGACTGATTTGCCATAATAATTTAGAAATGTCATGCAACTACAATACCATTCGATTGATGCTGGCTTTTAAAGCACAATAATCATGATGCACAAATTAACTATTACAGTATTCTATCTATCGTCTATATCAAGAGTACTGTGTACGCGACTGCAATATTTACACGTCGAAAGGTTTTTATATTCCGAAATTATTCAAAAATTTTTATTGTTTAATTATCCCTATCACAGAAATACCTGTATAAGATGCAAGCACTATTATCACTACAAGATTTTTTAAAAGTGAAACCGAAGAATAAAATGTATAATGATAAACCATATATACCTATCGTCATAGTTATACTCAATATTCAGAGTTACACATGTCATTTTGAGGTAATAATGTTTTAACATAGACTCTATACCGCATAGATCATAAAGCAAGCAATGTAATGCCAAGAACTTGTATTGTCTATCGACAGGCCTTTAAATATTATCTAAAGTTGATATCATAAAGTTGATGAATATTTTATATTCTTTAGCAAAATGAATTTGCCTATTGGGTCCAAAGGTTAAGTCAGTACTTTCTTTGACTAGGCAAGACTCATTTACAAATTCCATCTCTAAAATGATTGTTGAAGTAGATCAGAATACCAAGGTAAAGTAGTAGAATAAACCTGCAGAATTGAAGTACAATTGTGCTTTGATTAAATCGTTACCTTGATGGCATAAATTTTTCTTTTCTTCATTGTTCACTGGAATATTAGCCAATAGAAATCGTCTATCAAAGAATTTGCTTAGTATAGTAAAATTTCTTCACCTTCCGATACTTAATATAGTATGTATTTGTAGCTCAATTTCCATACCTAAATAACCACATGGATTCGTGACCTACATAGAATTCTATTAATTCTCTATTAACTTGCAGCTCGCTTACCCATAGTTTCTTGACGTTTACCTGGCTATGATTATAAGAAGATTTCATTTGCTATACTATTTCAAATAGGATTCCAACAATAGGCATAACTTATCACATAACAACAAGGCCAATATATACTAAATAACTAATAAAATAGAACTTACTTGAGCTGAACCAATAAGGTCAACAATTGCTGCCGGTAATAATATACATTGCTATCAGATACATGCATCTGCAGCCATAAGGCAGTATCTTGAAGCTCGCTTAATAAAATCTAGCTCAAAGAGAAATGTTGTAATTATTAGTTTTCAAACTTTGATCAGCTTTTATATTTTGAAGCTAGTCCTTCCTTGGGCAAGTTTTTACCTCTTGATAATTTGCCAAATATGTACATAATATCCAGCATCGATGACTCCAACTAATATAATTACTGTAATATTGATCAGCAGTTTTCGCTGCTACTGTTAATTCTAGTTTGCATAATGTTTTGATATCGCAATCACCGATTTTAGCAGCATGTTGAATAAGCCATCGCCTAAACATGACGTATATTGATAGTAGGATTACCATACAATGAATTATTAGCAATTGGCCAATTTTACCAAAATTGAATCAATGTACGCAATATACTGTAGTTAACATATCAAGTCCAGTTAACCTATGGCTAAATAATTCAGCACTTCTGGGATAACAGGTTAAAATAAGATTCATTATTCGAAATTCATCAGCAATGGATATTTTTTCAGAGGTAATTAATTCTTTTCTATATGAAAGAAGAAAGCATATATATAATGTACAAGCAGCTGCGAATATCTATAACAGAGTAGTTAAACATGGTCTAATCATCGTCTGTTATGCATGTCAAAATTAGTTTAGACACCTTGCATTCCATGCTGTATAGCATTCCGGGTTGAACAGCAGTAAAACCATTGAAAGACTAGCAATTACTTGATACACAAAGATCACAAACATGCAACGTAAATAAAAAAAGAGAGGTAAAAGTTAGAAAGCTGGTCAAGGTTATTGAAGGTCCATCATTAAATCGAATACGTGTATACTATCGTACTTAATAATGTAAAGAATATATTTTTAATCTCTTGCCATTACCTAAATCGCAGTCATTAAGATCGGAGCTGGATGATCTAACTTTAAAGAATTCTTTATGTACAAAAACGTATATTTTCTTACCAAGTCCGCTTGATATTCCTAGCTTACCGTCAATAAATATCAAATCATTATCTGAGCCATGAACGATTCCAAGTTCCTCTCTATAAATGAAATATTTCACATATCAATATTGTTGAACTGTACTAGTATGATGAACTCCTACAGGACGACATTACAATCCACATATCAAATTCAAAATTGCAGCAGTGTTTCCTAGCGGAAAATGACTACTAAATTAATGACTGACATGCATTCCTGGCTATTTAGAACTTTGACTAATTCGGTGTATCCTTTCTCTCCTTCCATGATCGAATATTAACAAAATTTCATTTCCAAATTGCAAACTGGCCACATCCAAAAGTCTCCTAGCCTCGATATTTCAGGCATTTCTGTTTACACACGAAATAGTCACGATTGAACAACTAACTGCAGCTATTCTATATGCTATCCAAGGATTACCACGCTAACTATGACAGGGTCATGACACTTTCATATAGCGATTACTTTTCTAACGTACAATTAGCATAAATCTCTTGACGATGAGTATTTATAAAAGTTTAAACTGGAGTAAATAAACTGCTAGCCATTCATCGAAAGGATCTCCATCCAGACTAATACCTTCGTTTCTTTCATCCAAGAAATGATTCTGCCTTAGCATCATTAGTATGACTACTGCATATATGTTTGATACACAAGATATTCAAGCCAACGCTCGGATAGGCGGTTGGATGGACTTCTTTCGTAAATGCAGACTGTAGTTGCCATAGAAAGCATCGAAAGCGAGCTCCTTGCAGGATGGATGGACTATGAACAAGGCTGCAAAGTTCAGACTTGGATTGTGAGAATATGGATCGATGCCTAGATGGACAGGTTGCTATAAACAATCTCCTTTCATCCAGCTTTTAAAGCATCATTACTACTTTTGATTGAATATTTTGCTCAGCTTTTGAAAGACCTTAAGTAACGTTACATCTCTAGCCTAGCTTGATCTGGAAGCATCACTCATGATCTTGGGTATCCGGGAGCTACGAAACTGATAATTATAAGTATATAGTAATCAGAGCTATGACCTAGCTAGACTTGGAGTTATCACTGATCTTATGTTTTGAATATCACGAAGAAGAATCTGAAGTTAATCATGTTGTTAGAAGATGCAGTGACTGTCTTGTCTATCTCGGTCCTTTACTACCAGTATTTTGATCATACCAATGTGTACTACCTCGATTCTCGTTTGCAGTCGATTACCGGCTTATATTATTTAATGGGTTAGTGCAAGCTAAAGCAAAGAATGAACATGAATTCTCGATATCAGTTCTGAACTAATTGTAATTGAGCAACATAAGGAACTATGTTTGAACCTATTTAATCAACTCATTTTTTTAAACATTATTGTCGTCCATGTAATGACAATTTGCAGCTTTCCTAACACCGATTTCTATTATTCTGGCTCCAAAAGCTGAATATTTACAGAAAAGGTTAAAAGTTTTCAGGTACAGTATTACAATATCTTTGACTGCATGTAATAAGATTTCGTATATAATGATGCCTAAAATTGTATCTTGGAGCTCTTACTACTGTTACAAATTGTGGTCAGTAGTGATGCGTTGCAAGCTGTACGTAGCATCAAATCGTGATTACATGTACTCGATTTATTAGGAATTATCTACTATGGATTATGATTTTGCGATCGTACGTCGGGATATTAAAACTCTGATACATTACTTACTTAGTCAGCATGATATTCTTAATGATATTGTCTATTTAATCCTTAATATAGACCTGGTTCTGGAAGCAGCCTTGTACTTGCAACATCATTGGGATCGAACGTATTACTCTCTCAGTATTTGTTGTCTAAGGGTGTACTGCAAGGTAGACTCATTGCCATTCATATCGATAATTATATTTCGTATTCCTAGCATCAACTGAAACTTTCTTTCAATATGTTATGATTATCTAGCTTATGAGTTCAAGTCTTCATTAGTTTGTTTTAATATACACATATTATCCTTAGAGGACTATAGATTTTATCTCGTTGGATGTATAATGATGAACTATCTTATTCTGATCATCCTGGCTGTCACGCACCTAATACATCGGATAAATGCTATAGCTAGTTTACTTATAGGACTATTTATGATTGCTATTCTTTTATATGTTGCAGGTAAGTAAACATGGTGTTACATGTTCGTAGACAATTAGCTTATAAATGTCTCTAAATCTTAAAATATTTATCCTAATTAAAGCATGGCAGTATGAAATTGTTGCTATTATGGCTCTGTTAAGCTTCTTCGTAATCGCTATCTTGGCTTATATAACCTTTATGCCAAAGAGCTTCACGATTGCAGAAGTTGTGCTTATCAGTCAAGGTTCCAGCATGTTCATTTTTGACGTATTCATTTCGGCTATGAGAATGGTAACATTAATTATCAGATGTATTGGCTCGTGCTGTTCTGCTACAGACTTTTAAGATTCGTTTCAAATTGATAAATGAAAGCATTTTTATTAAGGCTTTCAATGCTACCTTAAGGTTTATGAAAACGAATTCTTCCTGAACTGCATCAAGAGTGAAAGGCATGAACTAACAGTAGTCTTTCAGGTGGGCGCAATCGCTCTTTATGCTCTCTATTATAACGTTACACTGAATGTTGTTATTTTTGTGCAGATGCTTATCTTGTGGGTAGTCGGTATTGGAGTAGTTTTAAGTCCGATCTTAATGGGATTAACCAGGTATTGCTATTAATTACGTATATTTTAACATGTATTGCTTCTTATTCAGTTTTATGTGGTGTTTTAACCGATGGCTAAAGCCTATCTTAAGCTAGTATTTCGTTCTAATTATATTTAACTCCATATTTAATAATGTAGCCGTTCACCAGCATCGATAATGAACAATAATTATTGGTCGGCAGCTTTTTACATTGGTTTGACAGTTTTTACCTTTGGATTATATTTACCAGTTTTTACGATGCTGCTCCGGAGTAATCCAATAATGTGGCTCTTAGACTTTATCACCCTAAATAGTGCAAGGGTATAAAAGATTTATATTCGAGCATAAATCGGATGTTAAGATAATTACTATTACAGTTAGCCTTCTGATTAAGATTGGATTACCTTAAATTCTAACCTTAGATTGCTCTCATCTGTTACTGGATTTTTCTGGTATTGATTGCCTTGTATATCGTAATCTGGAGAAATTTATATGGAAGCAGTAGCAAGTAATTATTTGTTATCTTAGTTTTTAAGACGTTGCGTGGTACTACTTGCTAATATCAACATTTTAAATTTTTGCAATTACACTCACTAGGATTCCAGCGATTTTAATCCGAAAGTATTTTCATGTGCTAGTTATCTTAATATACTTTCCTGGAATATATTTTGATTACCGCGCAACTTATTTAGCATCAAGTGTTGCCCTAGCATTATTTTTATTAGCTGAGGTATAATTTTTTAAAAATTATTTTCTATCTTGCTTCTTCTAATTATGCAATTACTGTATTTAATAATATAACTATTTGGAAATTTGTTAATTTTTCCCCTTTTTTTCGCATAGTTCCTTCGTATTTTTCATATTCGCCCATTCGGACCATGGATTCACGACCATTTACAAATATTTATTGATACTAGAGATTCTGGAATAGTAATATTGACTCATATCTATTTACTGGTTGGCTGTGCTCTCCCTTTATGGCTATGCCAATCAACTTCTGTACTAAATGGTATAAAATCTTCATGGCTGAAACTTTACACATTATAATTATTGAATCTACTGACATAATATTTCCATCTCTCATCTTTTTTGTTACATACAGTTACGGATAATGTAGCATTAATGTACGCAGGCGTAATGTCATTAGGAATTGGAGATACCTTTGCTTCTCTTGTCGGTATAACAATTGGAAAGCGTCGATGGCCAGGTTTAGAATCGTTTTTGATCTTTCGTTTGATAAATTTCTTATCGATTGTAATTCTGTGACAATTTAGGAAATAACCGAACCTTAGAAGGTACTGCTGGATCCGTACTTTCTATGTTATTGTTATATTATTTATTATGGCATATTGGTAAGTAAAACGCAAAGACTTGCTTTAATTAATTTGTGTGCACTAATATCATATAAGTAATTTGTATTGAAATTGAATCATGGCCATTACGATAAATCATTTTCTGACGGCTTGTGAGATGTCCTAGTTTTTATTTACATACTACATTATCAGGATTTTATGTTTAAACTACAGCAAGTAGGAATATCCATTTTTCACATTTTGTGGAATAGAATAATTTTATGTTTTCTTAGCCTTAGTGATACGATCTATGAATATTCTATGCTCGAACTGTTAACAATCTATGTTTCATCACTTTCACAAGGTAATAATATTTGCATTTGATAGGCGGTGAAAAATTTATCAAATTTGGTGGAAATTGGCAGACAATTATTCTAGCTTTCATTATAACTTCACTTACTGAAGCATTGACGACACAAATTGATAATCTTATCTTACCGTTGGTTCTCTATATTCATTGCACAAGCAAATGCTTACCTTAAAATTACGTACTTATGGTTGCTTTTTGCTAGGCTAAAGTTTTAAGGTGTATACTGTTCGATTCCAAATTTTATAAGCTGTATCATAAGAGGTATCAATGCCTATTGTAATTAATAACATTTATCATACTACGACGTCAGCTTACTGGTTTAATAAAGCTACTGCAGATTTGTGAACATGGAAAAGCTTAAAAGCTGTTAGTACGGGAATGTAGCCAGAATTTTGATTCCTTAGAATTAGAGAGTGTTTGAATTACGGTTATCTGAATTTCGTAAACAATATTCTATGCGTGAACCTTTGAATGTGTAATAGACACTGATGATGCCTATCGATACTTATAATACGCAATAAGTAGCTTTCTGATATGTTCAGATATGCAATAAATCAATATAAAGTAGTGAATTGTACGTTATATTTAAATTTTTAAAGTATTGATCGATGAAGAATAATTTCTAAAATATATATTCACGTTGATACGAACTACTGTAAATACTCCATATTCTCGAGTGAAGGTGACAAGGTGAAGAATATTTTGCGTACTACAGATTTATAAAGTCGTACAGCAAGTTAATATTAAGAAGTACAACAAAACCAGATACTTATAAAAGATACTGCTTACACAATATTTAGAATATTTTATATCTGCTGCTTCTGCAACTTACCAATATTATTTCCCGATCATATCAAAGAATTGTACACAGCCTGGCAAATAAATAAGCAAACCCTTAATATATTTAATCGTATGCTGTATCATAAGACGTACATGCCATAAAAAGATATATATAGGTTGAGGCCTACTCAGGGACATTTCTTTACGTTGTCGTCTTTCTCCATATACTTAATAGAGTTATGTTGACATAAGTATGTCGAGGATGAATATTTATCAAACTGTACCTAAATGATCCGCTTTAATAATACACTTGATATTATAAATTGTGTCTTCTACAAACTTTTTTTTATGCTCTCAAATAACGGATAAATTAGAGTTTGATATCATGTTAGGCCGCTCAAGAATTAGATACAATATATTACGCGGGCATACGATTAACACAGTATGCTCTATCGGAGCTAGTGGGAACTTATTACTCATCGTCAATGAAATACTAGCAAACGGTAAATGGTTACAATTCCTAATACAAGGTGTAAACCCAGTACCAAATAGACAATTGGTATGGCAGTGTTGTGTTATTACGGCACTTCTTAAATTATTTGGTAACTTTTTTATTCAATCATACAAATAATTTGTTTATTGTCAATTGCAAGGCAGAGAATTAGCTTTTAAATTAATTGTCATTGGGCATGACAATTTTATAAAGATTTCGAGTTGAAAAAGATCTATAAAGTTTTAAAGTCCAAAATTAGCGGAAAGGTTGCAATCAATAATAACTGAATAGAATTTTCGAGAATATTTAATATAATTGAATTTTCTGGTCTTCAATGCAATATTCAATGTTTCTCTATATGATAATAATATAATGATGAGCTAGGATGTATGTTGCTTGCAATATTTTGCTCTGTAGATATTTAATTTATCGCTTGTACATATCAATGTAATCAGTTTTATATTAAATCTATACCATGACTTTTATGAAGATGTCATAGCATAGGTAGAAAATTTCAAGATGACTTGTAAGAATTATAAAAAGTATTTGGGCATGAAAGAAAGAATCATCGTGTACAATTGCTTAAGTTGATAATTTAAGGGTTAAATTGTTAAAAAGAGTATTATTGATAATAAGTTAACGCAAAGTCGAAATTCAAAGTTCTTTATAAAATTAGTAAAGAAGTAAGTGCTATGCAGTGCACCTAAAATTGTATCAAGATAGGTAATAGACATGATAAATTTTGCAATAATGTGAATTAGAATCGCTACATTAAATAGTTAGAATCAGATATACGCGTTCTAGCAAATAGGTTAATATCTTTTAAATTATGAAATATCATAGTGTTTCGAAATAGCTTTTAAATTGTCAATTCCAGATACTATTAGCGATTATAATCATGTAATTACAATTAAATAGTTAAAAAAAAGGCTCATTTGTTTATTGGATATAATAAGGATTGTCTTTCGGCGCCTTTTATTCGGAGTGGGTTATTTTGATAATGTTCAATCATATTTTCAAGAGATGGAAAGACCTTACCGTTTTTGCCAATGACGTAGCCATCTGTTACTGGATCAATCTTAATATGAATTATTCCATTGGCTTGTGTACTATTAAATTAAAAATGAAATGATACAATATTTAACCGTCGTAACCTACTCAGATAATTTACGTAATGAATAAGCAATAATTTTAATTTCATTTAATTTACAGTTAAACTGCTCGGTCCTTCCAAAACATTGATCCAATATTCATCATTATAACAACTAGTAAGTGATTATTGGTGTTTATATGTCAACTAACCGAACAGAGAGAGAGTAGACCTTTTGAAATTTGCTACTTTCGCTATTTCGTACTAAATAGCTGCCAATATCGACATCTTTCATAAGAGTTTCCGCTTGATTTCTGGATAAGGGACCGTGAAACCAACTGGATAGAATTAAACAAAATATGACGGACTAAATTACTGATGACATTACAATGAGAAAATGATCATAGTTTATTAACAAGGTGTTAAAATTCGTTGTAATATCGCTAGCATATACAATTTACCCATTATCTTCTAAAGGAGGCTTATTAATTGTTTCATCACATGGGGTAGTATAGTCGTCATCGCCATCATCTTGGACTGAAATCATCGATTGTAAAACCTCATCAGGTAGCCTTGGAGGCACTTCAGGTTTATTACTCTCCATTGATTGTGCTCGTAGGCCAATCTTGGTGTTATTTGAGTCTGTAACAAACTGTCTGTTTGCGTCGACAGCTGCAACATTTATTTTCCGTGGGGCATCGTTGTTTGTCCATGGATCTTCATAATCATCATTTTCTGTGTCTTGCAGCGACTGCGGCAAAGGTGACAAGCCCATCGGAGATCGATTAGGATCTTCTCCATTCTCGCTGATACTATCAGAGGATATCATAGCCAGTTGCTTATGATCATATGACTTGAGAGATTGTTTTATTTCTGTATCTGGCATAGTTTTATCGTCGACGGAGAACGGCCGAGGCTGTAACTCAACGGGATCGTCCATGGGTTTAATATGCGAATCGGAAATTGAGTGTCGCATTTTCTCCACCAGTTTTGTCGACTGATCAGTTATAGATTGCCAAGGATCATCATAATCTTCGGGTGCTCGAGAATCTTGTGAAGGCAAATGAGGCCGACTAATACGCTTTTGACTGGAATGAAATTGACGGCGATTTCTTAAAATAGCTGTTTCTTGTGGATCATCAATAGATTGATCTTGAGGCTGTTTTGTATCAAAAACATCATCATAAATGTTGCCAACTTCTTGTTCAGGCATTTGACAATCAATTAGTTGATCGTAAACATTAGACGAAGTTTTCATATCAATAGGTTTGCAGTATTCGTCATCGAAATTTTGATCAGCTTCAGTAGATCCAGGCTCGACTTGGTCAATTTCTTCATTTGTACTTTGTTGATCGATCAATGAATTTGGATTTTCTGCAACGGGTGAAATATTGTGAGGAATATCACCAACATGTCGACTTTTCTTTCTTTTACCAATACGGTTAAATAACTTCTTCACTGATGACATTTAGCCTTCTTGATTGGAATAATTAATTATATGAAATCGACTTTAGGTTATAATTAACTTATTGAGCAAGTAAATTAGGGGGAAAAAAAAAAGAATGACAAGCAGTTTCACATTGTTAAAATAGAGCGTAATATCGCGTGGGAGAGTTTAGGTTTAACCCAAGACGAAGTAATTGTCAATAAGAATAATGTCTTTTATGACAGGGATAATAATTGGAATTTTTCTATCTATTGAATTCGTCTACTATTGATATTCATGAGCTGCAAGCAATAGTCACAGAACGCCCTTTAAAATGTTTTTCCCGTCCAATTTTATAATGTTGAACTTGACTTGACTAGTCAGTGTTTTCTCAGTTATGCTACAGTATCAATGTCGGGCAATTTTGATGGCCACTACAATAGTATACAGTACAGTATCAAAGCATTTTTTCGAATCAAATTGTTCATATGCTAATTATTTATCTCTCATTTTATTATCGTATTTTATTCCTGCTGCAGATGTACTCCAGTACTGACAATACGAGATTGTGGTAGAATAGAATTTATTCACTACACAAAAATAATAAACAATGTGGAATGCTGATCTTAAAGCATTTTTAGTAGCCCTACGTAACTGCAAGAGTATAGTAGGTTACTTCGTATTTTATTACTGAGGGAACTTTTGATTTACTACGATAAAATTAGTTGGCCGCAGGAGTTCTTGCTGCCAGGAATGGATTGTGAAAACATTTTTGAACTACGGTATATCTTTTAGTATACGCATGTTCAGCTAAAATGGAGGAACAAGGCAAGCAGAAGCAATAAACTAGCCCAATTTTACTTCTTATCCAATATGGAACTAGCATAAGAAATGGCAAAGTGCAGTATGGTTTATACTTTACTCTCCATTTCTGCTTTACCGAATCGTAATATTCTAAAAAATGATCCTATACCTTGTTGAATGCTCATGTCGATAAGTACATAAAAATAATTCAATTTCTGTTACCCCCCTCCCCCCAAAATAAATAAATTTATACGAGTTCAAAGCTAAACGTTGACGTAATTACCTGCCATTACGAGTCGTAGGGAAAGCATGCAATTGAATTGGCCTTGCAAAGAATATTGTTGTGATTCATGTCAATTGAGTATTAATACTCGTAGAGATGTTATTGCTAATGGAATTACCATGCGGAGTAAATTAGTGTTAGATGACAGTTTTAGAAGACATATGAGAGTGATTCATGATAGCCATGAAAAAGATACAAGTATAAATTACTTCAGGATCATCTTGCTATCGACATGTGCTATAATAAGTCATGAAGTTTGATAACAACAATAGATTGAATGAATAAATTGGGAAAGG